GTTTAGTGGTTTCTAGTGTACTCACAGAGTTGTGCAATCACCATAATCTAATTTTAAACATTTTCATCACTCCAAAAAGAAATCCATTCCCATTGGTAGTGACTCCCTGTTCCCCCTTCTCCCCAGTTCCTGGAAACCACCAATCTATTTCCTATCTCTATAGATTTGCCTCTTCTGGACACTTCATACAAATGAAATTATACAATATGTGGCCTTTTGTGTCTGGTTTCCTTCACTTACACTAATGTTTTCAAGTTTCACCCATGTTGCAGCATGTATCAATACTTCATTCTTTTTACGGCTGCATAGTATTTCATTGTATGGATATACCACATTTTGTTTACCCATTCATTAGTTGATGGAAAACTGGGTTGTTTCCACTTTTTGGCAATTATGAATAATGCTACTATGAACACTGATACATACATTTTTGTGTGGACATACATTTCATATCTCTTGGTTATATGCCTAGCAGTGTAATTACCAGATCATATGGTAATTCTATGTCTAAACTTTTGAAGAATCACCAAATTGTTTTTCAAATTGCTTTCAAAGTTCCATTTTAAAATTCTACAAGCAATGTATAAGGGTTCTAATTTCTCCACATTTTCACTAACACTTGCTATTGTCTGTCTTTTTTTATTTCAGCCATCCTAGTGGGTATGAGGTAGATCTCACTGTAGGTTTTGATTTGCATTTCCCTAGCGACTAACGATGTTGAGTATTTTTTCATGTGCTTATTGGCTATTTGTATATCTTCTTTGGAGGAATGTCTATACAAATCATGAGTCCATTTAAAAGCTGGGTTATTTGTGTTTCTACTATTGAATTATAAGACTTTTTAATATATTCTTTATATTTCAAAGTCCCTTATCAGATATATGACTTGTAAATATAGTTTCCCATTCTTCAGCTTGTCTTTTCACTTTATGGTGTCCTCTGAAGCACAAAATTTTTAGTTTTGATGAAGTCCAACTTACTATTTTTTCTTTTGTTGTTTGTCTTTTTTGGTGTCACCTCTAAGAACAATTGCCTGATCCACGCACACTGAGATTTCTGCCTCAAATTTCTTCTACGGATTTGATAATCTTAGCTCTTATTTTTGATCCATTTTAAGTTAATTTTTTGAAGGTCCAGCTTCATTCTTTTGTATGTAGACATCCAGTTGTCCCAGCACCATTTGTTGAAAAAGCTATTCTTTCTCCCATTTAATTGTCTTGGCACCCAGTCAAAGACAATTCATCATACACATATGGCTTTATTTCTGGACTCTCAGTTCTATTCCACCAATCTATATGTTTACCTTTATGCCAGTACCACATGGTCTTGATGACTGTAGCTTTGTAGTAAGTCCTGGAATTGGGAAGCACAAGTCTTCCAACTTTATTCTTTTTCAAGATGATTTTTCATATTAGGTTTGTAAATAAATGATGATTTAATGGGTGACTAAATGAATGAATGTCAGCTTTTTTATTTTGGCCGCACTATGCGGCAAGCGGGATCTTTAGTTCCCCGACCAGGGATCGAATCTGTGCCCCCTGCAGTGGAAGCCTGGGATCTTAACCACTGGACCGCCAGGGAAGTCCAAATTGTTTGCATTTTTTCAAGTTTTATTTTGGTAAGAGGGGAAGAGGTTAGGAATTTTTTTTCTTTAAAGGAATGCAGCTAAGATACATACATACATGGACATATCTTCAAAAACATGCTGGGATTGGGTCCTATTTTACAAAGATGCCTTTAGTGGTTAGGTTTCTGCTGCCTGGGCTGCAGGACAGAATCTGTGTCTGAATTCCCTGTAATTGGTACCATGCTGGAAGCAAAGCTGGTGCTCAATAAATATTCATTGATTAAATGCCTTGTCCTTTTTGTTTTGTTTTAACCTATTGATTGTCTTGTTGCTAACTTTTGGTGGCTAGTTGCTGAAATTTTCTGTTTTTTCTAGCCTTTTCAAGAAGCTTATTTTTCTAAACTTCTACCAGTTTTCTGCATGGCACCGAAATATGCTAGACAGATGATTTTCCAGAAGACAACCATTAGGAATTCTTTTCAGATGGCACTTCAAGGAACTGAACTTGCCTCTCCCTCTTTCATACCCTAATCTCTTTGCTATCACTTGCAGGCCTTGCCTTCTCTTACGCTCCAAGGGCAGAAAACAACTCCCATTTCCAAGACTGGCAATCATTCCTGGTGTGATTCTCTTGAAA